AAGTAGGTACATAGGCGGTACCTGGTAGTGGGTTAACTAAAAACATACGTACCTAATAGACAGGTATGGGATGTCTTATAAATGAAGATTAAATATTATTTTAAAATACTTGAAATTATTACTTAGACATCGCGAGCCTATTGTAATAAGCGTCCCATTTAAATACTGTTTGTGTCAGGCCACTAAGAGATAGACAATTTTCAAGAAATATCAACTGTTGAGCATATTATTCCGAGAGTGACATACCTACCTCATAAATCATATCATATTAATACATTGCAAATGCGCCTATCGATATAATCTTTTATTAACTAATAATAACTAAACATGTCGATAGAGCACTGGGGAGTTGGTAGAGACTAAAAAGTAAACAAATTTGAAATTTTATACTTTTCACATGCATTTTTATATTAAATCGTAATTTAAATTTTAAGTGTTTAGATATTTTCACAGCGTATAACATAATAGTAGTTACTAACAACTAATTATCTACATGTAAATATAACTTTWTACCTTATGTTTGGATGTTGCTATCGTTATCAGTAATAATCAATGTAAAAAGTATCATCRAATAAAACATTATTGTAGCTAGTTATAAAATAAATGATTCTGTAATATATTTTTTTTTCTGAAAATCGATTGAAGAAATTAGTACATTGTGTGCAATATTTTCATTTGAGTATATCTAACATAATACCTAATATCACTATATCCTATATCGGCTGTATCACAGTCTTTATCATTAAATATTTTTAACTCCTACTTATGTAATTTATTTTATTATCAGAGCCTAATACAGTGGGTTGAATTAATATTGGACAAAAATATTGCATTTAAAAATTTCATTGTGTCTGTACAACACGATAATACAATTTAAATGTTTCAAGTAATCACGATTTATGAATAATACCTACTTTTTAACACCAACTAAAATCGTTTTATTCTTTGTGATAATAATTAATGTATAATTTGGTCAAAATTTGGACTTAAAATATATTTTAAAAGAAAGTTTGTGTGAACACATATTTTTTGATTTTAGTAAGAAATTCTTATGGGGAATCTTATTTTAATTTTCAATTCTTATCTATCAAAATAAAATTGAATATTTTATACATTATYTACAAAATAATTTCGAGATTTTGACAAAGTTGATAAAAAAAAATCGTGCCTTTGTACCTTTAATATTTTTCAACTGCTAATTGCTATTTTAATATTTTTTGAGAAACCTTGTTTTAAATGTTCTACCTTATTAACCCAACGAAGAAATATTTTTGATATTTAATGAAATAAAACTAAAATGTCTTAAAATAAGTTGAAAACGTATCTATATCTACATATATATCTATGTTATATTGTTATGTACTCGTATAAAAAATTATAAAATAAACTTTCATGAAAATGTTTGAGTATTTACGTTTATTCATTTTTAAATTACTATGGTATTAGAAAATTGTTAAATTGTTAAATTTGCGAGTGAATAGCCAATGTCGAAAAAACTTCACCCTCTTAGAAAGATTAATTTTAATTTTCTAGTAAAACTTTGTTTTCGTTAAAGATAGAAAAACCCGAAAACGTATGAGGAACATGTTTTTAATTTTTAAGCATTTTAACCAAGTAACATTTTTTTTGTCGATAGTAATTAATAAAAAACTAATAATAATATAAACTAAAACCTCAAAGTCTAATAATAAATACCTCAGAAGAATTAAAATATTTTACAAATTTTATCATCTGGAAAAAGTGCTAATTCGCTTTTGAAGAAAATTTAATGTTAACCCCTTCATGCATAACTTTTTATTTATCCCTGAAATAAATTGAGGTTATAGTAAAAGACGTCAGGATCACGAGAAAAATAGTTAAAAAAATATTTGAGTCAAACTTCCCCTTAAAGTTGATCAAAGTTTAATTTGTGCCAAATATGGCACTATATGCACTAAAAGTTTGTTGGTGCTATAATTGGCCATCATTCATTAAAGTATACAATTTTTATTTTTGCCATTTCCGGCCACTATGCACTCAATATATGCTCTATGATACACATGCATAAGTCCAATATTAAGTGTGGTATTTTTTTTTATTTTTAGAGCTAAAAAAAAAAATTCAGTTACTATGTTTTGAATGCATGTTGTGCCAAATATGGCACATACTAAGTTTTTGTTATATTTCAAAAAGTATTATACTTAGAAACTAGTATTTACTTTTAAAATAAAGCTGACAAACAGACGAACAAAATGATATATATTTTTTTTTAATTCGGTAGTATCAATTTTTTGTTACGATAACATAAAATAAGTGATAACGACTCTTGGTGACAAAAATATTTGGAGCTAATTAAATTTCATCTATGTTTCACAATTTTACCGCTAGATGGATGTACCTTGCATCAAAATTGTTCGTTTTTTTGTGTCGAATCTGGCCGTATATGCAGTAACGTCATAGCTATATTTTCACAGCAACAAATTACGWAAAACTAATTTGTGCCACATATGGCACACTATGCATGAAGGGGTATTGTTTTWCATCTACTCGTACCTAGTTGTTTTTTTAGTCACACCAAAACCTATAATAGATTTTATCAAAAACTGGTTTTGCATTTCCGTTTTTTTGCAATCTTTAAATATATTAATTACATTTTTGAGTATAATATATTTACCCTGTTGAAAATTCATTGTTTATCAACTTTTTAACTATTTTAGAATTTTGATAGATAGAAAAATCTTTTGGTTTATTAATGAGCGTTGTTTGATAAAAGAATCACCTTGCATAATTTTTTATGTCTATCATAAACTTTTGTGTCGGGAAAAATCTTCAACTCTGAAGAAGGTGGTTTTTAAAATAGCAAATTGGAGTAATAAGTAATTGGATAAAAAAAAAAAATAAGGAAAACCTGCAATTATTACGCCAAAGTCAAAAYCAAATTTCGACAAAATCGAATTGTTTTATTTTTTTAATTAAAAAATAAACAACCATAGAATTTGACATTTTCAACAAATAATATTATRTATTAGTATTTCTAGTCACGATGTATAATTTTCAAAAGTTTTTGATTATTTTCGACTTATGTGCTATTTAGTATGCTAGAACTTAATAGAATTAGATACTAATATTGAAATCATTTTATGTACTCATCTATTTTAATTTAAAAAATATTACTCTATACCTACTCACTTTAATTTATGCTAATTACTTTATTAGTTGGTACCTGACGTCATGCAATGGTATACATGTCACATGAATAGGTTATTATGTACTTTTTACAGTAATTTATTTTTTTTCTCGTAGGGATTAATTGTTTGTTATTTTGATATTAAGATTATCATAACAAATTATCGTGATGAATAYTGATGGATGATAATATTAATATTATTATTGTTTTACAGGAATCATGGCCAAAATAGAACAAAGGTTGAATTACTAAAAATGACTAGAATAATTCATTAAATTATTCACATAAATATTTTAGAAGATAGGAATCGATAAATGTAAAGTATTTAAATATTAATACTTAAATAAAAATTCATCTAATTAGCTATTTCTATACACAGCTGTAAAATGTCTGAAAGCGAAAGAAAGAAGAGATCACAATGTATAGATGTTTGGGAAGAAGCCGGATCGGAATTCTACCAAGAAAGCTATCCAGGAATGGAAGCAGATTTAGAGGCATTCCAAAAAAACCCAAATAAGCTTTCTACTTTATTACCTAGTAATAAAACAAGAACAGGTAACATCAAATACATATGTACCTAATTAATTTTAATTGTGTACCTACAGAAATATAGAACTTATAATGGCTAATATAATAGTATATAAACTAAAAATACTATACTATACTTATACTTATTAGTTATAATTATTATACATAGTAAATCAAATATATTATGTTGATATAAATGTTAAAATATATTATATTCCGCTATGCCATAAAATATCATTATTGATTAGTTATAAATATAATAAATGTAATAATACATTATTATAGTAATTCGAGAGAATAAAACATGACATATTCAGTAAATGTTAATTCTTATGTAAGGGGTGCTAGTGTGCTACGCAGAATGCGGTTACAGGTTACAACATGTGTTTATACTAAAAATATCCACCTTACAACTTACAAGCATACAGCACAGACAATTTGCGTTTAGAAGAAACTATTGTGCATTGCTAGTTTCAAAATACGAAATTAGTTCGAATTTTCATATTATATTAAAACAATTAAAGGTAAAATTATATTGAGCATCAGCTATAATATTTACAACTAATATTTAATATTATATTTAATATTTACTATCAGTTTTTCTATTCCCTATTTTATTTTGTTAAAGATAGTTTTAAAAATCAAAAACCGTGTATTTACCTATTTAGTTTTAAATACCTAATAGAAACAATGCATTTCAACGATTTACATTATTATAAAATAAATACATACATTTTAATGTGTTCAAAATGAAACTTGGATGAACATGATATATTATATATAACTTKTTTTGTAAATTATTTACTGTTTCAAGGTATTTTAAATTTTTGGCACACATAACGTCACGCATAATTATTTGACACACAATTAATAATGAAATATACAACTATAAACTTGTGTTTGTGATTTTCAGCAAGAAAAAAAATCAATAATGGAACTGTATGCTATCAAGCGACAGCAACATTAAAACCGGTGGAATATGGAACATTATGTCAAAACACTATGGGTTGTAATAACGAAATTCAAATATCACTAATGCCTGATTTGTCAGGTAATCTAACGATACATTTATTATTAAACAAATAATTTTAAACAACAATGAGGATTTTATAATTTTGTATGGTTATAGAGAATTTATCTAATGAAGAGCTTGTGTGGGAAGAAATTATGAAAATTAAAACTATGCCAATTAGTATGGCTCATAAGAAAGAATTAAAAGCAAAACTCAAAGTAAGTTTAATGTTTGAGATGTATTAATAAGACAGTAATAATAAGAAATAAATGCAGTTRACTTTAAGCATATAACTATTTTATAAATTACTAATTACTAATTATAATAATATATATTATAATTTATAATTTATAATTCATAATGAATACTGTCAAATGTAAAATTATTTAAATTATATACCATATTTTTATAGGATTTTTATATTTTTATCATAGTTTCCCAGATTTCAATGGGAAATAATGGAGGTCGACGATTACCTCTCCTATCCAAAATGCCAATCCATGTGCCCTCAAAATATATTATTAGTGGTGATAATATTTCTTCATTTTCGATATAATATGTGCTTTCTAATAATAATTCAAAAGATTCTATCACTTCATCGACGGGTATAAATGCAGCTGCAGCTAATTTTCGTACTTCTAAAGAAAATTGTGCATCGTTACATTCTTTCGTAAAACCATAGTGTTGTATTTGACTCCAAACCGCCTGACTTAAGTTAAAGAAACATCAGTGAATCTTCGTATTGGGAAATTCGTTTTTAGTTGCATTCATCACTGCTTTTCAAATATTATTCTTCTAAAACAGACCTATGATAAACTGATAGACAAAGACCGCTTCCAATATTCTTTATTTTGGATTACAAGAAGTCAATAAGTGAAATCAAATATGCTATATTCTATTTGAATTGTTCAATATATATTTAACTGTTTAACAAATGCTTGATTTCCTAAATTTAGTTTTTAATATAATCTAACATAAAATGTTGTAAATATTAATAAGCATGTATTTAAATATTTGTACTTTGTTTATAGAGTGCAGATGCTTTCAGACTTCAAGGTTTCCAGCAGCTTAGATGGCAAAAGCGAAAATTTTGTAATTATTTCAAAACCAAGTGGTTAGAGTTTTATAATAAATTCGATTTATGGAGTTCGAGTTTGAAAAAAATYGAAGGCCACTGTGGCGCAGGTGTAGTGGAATTCTTTCTTTTTATAAAATTGTTAATTTTTTTAAATGCTTTCACAATGGTTGTGGTTTTTATTGTATTAATACTCCCTTCAGTTTATTGGGTAGGATTAAAAGAAGGAATCTCACCAGACCTCTGGAATGAATGTGGTTCGAGTAATGAGAGTGCTTCTATTGAATGTTGTAGTGCTATTTATGAAAACACTACTAGGGTAGCCAGGCCCCGAGTAACCATACATTACGTTATGGATATTATTCAAGGTACAGGTTGGGTTGAATCGACGCCCATGTATTATAGTTACTATCCTAATCAACAGTTCAGTGTTGGAAAATTATTCACTTATCACATACCTTTGGCATATATCGTTTCAACCATTAGTTATTTTCTTTTGTTTTTTTTGATCATTGTTAGGAAGTCGATTAAGGGATTTAAGCAAAGAATGGTAGAAACTCAAGTACAATATTATTTGTATTCTAATACCATTTTCATTGGGTGGGACTTTTGTATTAACAATAAAATATCGGCCATATTAAAGCAAAAGGCAATATTCAATGAGCTGCGTTCGTTTTTGATCGCCGATAGACCGAAATTCGAAAACAGGAATCGCAGTAAGCAAATTAACATTATAACAATTAGGTTGCTCATTTCATTTTTAGTCATTGCTCTAATTGGGTCGGCTTGTTTCTCTGTGTATCTGATTTTTTATTATTCTATAAAGTTGTTGCAGCGAGAACAAACATTTTTGTGGGCATTTTTGTTGGAATTTGCGACGCCGGTAGCGATAACATTTTACAACATAGTGTTACCAATTATTTTTGATGTTTTTTTAAAATTTGAAAACCGTTCCATGTATCAAGAAACCCGGTTATGTATATTGAGAATAATATGCGTGCGATTATCTCTTTTGGTCAGTCTGTTAGGTTCAATTTATAAGCTGATTAACTGCGTGCGAGAAAAATCTCAGTGCGCAAGTGCATTATGTAATTCTCCACTTTGCTGGGAGACATACGTGGGTAAGATCATGTATAAGCTTCTGATTGTTGACGTCACATGCAAAATCGGCATCACCATCTTGATTAGTTGTCCTCGTAGCATCCTGGTTAGACATTTTAAAAATAATCTGTTTCAAGTAATGTCCAATCAAGAACTTAACTTAGCGAAACATGTATTGGACGTTATCTACATTCAGATAATTGTGTGGTTGGGTAGTTTCTATGTGACCCTACTGCCAGCCTTAGGCCTTGTTTCGATGGTGATAATGTTTTATATAAAACGGTTTTCTTGTATTGTAAACTATAGCCTAGCTCAAAAGGTATACAGCCCGTCAAGAGCACATACAATGATCATGTCCATGTTACTCATGTCCTACGTTCTTTGTGTGACTACGTGGTTAACAGTTGTATCAAAAATAACGCCATCCAGGTCTTGTGGCCCATTCAAAGGATTACCGTCTATTTGGAGGGTTTTGATTGATTTTATGCGTACCATACCTCCGTGGACAATTACGTGTTACGAAATTYTGTTTAGTGTAAATTTTGTTGTCCCGTTGATTTTCATACTTTCGTGCATTGTCTACTATTATCACACCGTCATGGGATCCAATAAAAAAATGATTGTAGTTCTTCGCAAGCAACTTGTACTTGAAGGACACGATAAACAATTTCTATTGAATAGATTAAGTGCGTTTATCAAACAACAGGATAGACGTCGCAAAGCCACCGAAAATAACGGTGAAATCGACGTACTGCTTTCTTGAATTGCACAAAATATAATCGAAAATTGATTCGTGAAAACTGGTGATTTTTTAGGGTGCTCGTATGTTATTACTGTATTGGTACTGACATTTTTTTTTGTATATTTGAACTGCTTAAGTTTAGAAACGGTTTATTTAAYAGTTACCTAAAATGTGTATACCTACCCGATGTTAATATTTATCTACCTTGTTTTTACCAAAAGTATTGTATAATATATTTATTTCAAGCTCAGTTAGTTTATTGCTTAGATTTTATGTTTAATTTGTAGGTATATTATTTTATTATTTTCGTTAAAACACGAATTTTCAATATTATTATAAATAATTGATATTTGAAAATTTAATTTGAAATATATTTMTTTATAACTATGTATTGTAATTACACATATATTAATGTTTTATGTACCTACTTAATATTCTCTTGTAAACAATATTATGTTAATAATATCATATAAAAGCGATATATCAACATAATTAACAAATATTTAAATACATAGATGTCTTAAATATTTTAAATATAAGTAAAAATTTGTAAAAACTTTTCAGTGCAAACAAAATAAACCATTTAAGTGATCTCTGTGAGAGTTACACAATTTAAACTCAAAAAATTATGTAAATAAAACGTATATTTATATAATAGCATAAATTATAATATTTAATAATTGTATTTTTAATTATATTCTTGTTAAGGGACTATTTATTGTAAAATATAACAATGTGTATTTTTTAAGTCTTAATCTAAATTTACATATTATACAATTTTGGGTGATATTTTTTGGACTGTCTTCCTTATAAATTTTGTTTTG